GTCATGGTCAATTATCAGACTTTGGATTCTCCCGAGATAAAGATGAGTTGGCCCTTAGGGCTTGTGATGACACTTCTTCATTTTTAAATCAAAGAGGGGGAGATGTTGGGGACCCCTGCTGTCTAAAGTATCAGTCTCTCCATGTCCAGATAGCCGCAGGCCAGCTTGGCGTTCTTATGCAGAGACTCCTTTTCTCAGCGGGGCACCTTCCTGCTCTCTTCCTGACTCACCTTTTGAAGGGCCTGTCACAGACACATGTCCTTCAGCATGAAACTGCCAGGTTTTCCTGTGTGATAATCAGGCATTGTCTGACAGCCTGGCAGAAGCCCACCACCACATGTAAATGGGGCATCCTGAAAGCACCTATCCACTAAGGCTTTTGCCACTGCCCCAACAGTATAAATGTCCTGGTTTCCCCTAATTAATCAGAGCTGAATCACTAAGACCTGGAGCCGAGCTGAGTCACTGAATAAAGGAGCGGTACTGAGCTGAGTTCTGTGTCTTACTGCCTACGATTCAGTCTTCCCGGAGAGGCCTATCTCTTCATAAACCACGACTCACGGATACCCAGCTTTAGCCGTTTCTCGCACCTCCCCTCGTGACCTGGTGGCCAATGGGTCCTGAACTTAGAGAGAGAGTGCAAGGTGGAAATTGAAGCGGAACCGACCGGGCCAGCCCCAGTAGCAGAGAGCCTCAACAACCGGAGAAGCAGGGACCTGCCAGCGGCGGGGAGCCAGGGACCCAAACAGCAGAGGCGGACCCGCGGGACCCGCCGCACTCCAGCGACGTGTGGGAGACCGGCTCCACGCCCAGCAGCTGGTGCTCCGCGAAACCCGCACGCCCATACATCACTCTAGAGTCCAGCCTTGTAAGATAAAAGAAAAATGAGGAACCCAATAGAGGGATGTCAAGAAATTCCAATGGACTCTCATAGAAAAAAAAAAGAAAATTGCCCTATTCTGACTTTTGTCTGGTTCCCTGTCTAGAACTTGTAATGCTAATTACTCTTGCCTTTACTTCTTCACATCTCCTATTCACGATTCAAGGACTTTCCTTTCTCCTTAGAGATTAAGATAAAAGAAAAATGAGGAACCCAATAGAGGGATGTCAAGAAATTCCAATGGACTCTCATAGAAAAAAAAAAGAAAATTGCCCTATTCTGACTTTTGTCTGGTTCCCTGTCTAGAACTTGTAATGCTAATTACTCTTGCCTTTACTTCTTCACATCTCCTATTCACGATTCAAGGACTTTCCTTTCTCCTTAGAGATAAAAGTTATGCAATTCGGGAGTCTTTTAGATAGACCCACTGAAGGGGTACTCCAATTGCCTCACCTTGTGTCCCTGTTCAGCATAGAAGAAGCCAGAGCAGTCTGCATCCCGATTCCCTATCTGCAAGTTGGGTAACCTCCTCAGAGGATGTGTGAGAAGAATAGGAGGCAGGAATTGGCTAGGCAGTTAGGGTAAAAAGACCCTAAAGAAATTAGCCAGTTTCTTGACTAAAAGTCAGAAGGAAGTATTTGGAAGCTCGTATCTAATCCTTAAAAGATTTTAGGGTTACCTCTTCAGAGGGGGGGAATGTTAGAGTAGCCAAAAGCATGGATTTGATCAAAACCCCTTATATGGATGTATGAAATTTTCAAATAAATTATTTATTTAAAAAAGTTAAAAAAGATAAAAATAAATTTTTAAAAAAAATATTAGATGATAATATTATAATATTAGAATAAATTCATGTAAGGAGTAGTTTTTAAGGTATAACTAAAGGTTATATCTTAAGGGAACTGTAAGGGAAAAAGAAATGATCATTTGACTAAATTTAAATCAAGAACTTCTGTTCGGGGGCTGGGGAGATGGCTCAGCAGTTCTAAAGAAGCCTAAAAGACCAAAGTGTGAGTGTTCTTCACATCCACTTAACCAAGCACATTTGTCACAAAGGTAATGCCTCCTAGAACAGAGACAAGTCACCCATCAAGCTTAGAGCCAAGGAAGCAAAGTTCTACCACTTAAAAGAGTTACTTTGGTTTTGTTTCTGGTCAAAATGTGTCTTAAAATGTTGAAGAACAGACTCAGAGCACCAAAAATGGACTTTTACAATTCACGGTATTTGTTTCCTAGGCTGCCCTATTCTCCAAGATGGGTGTGAAGGTCCAGGATGGGTGAGGGTGGCCTGGGATGGGTGGGAGAGGCCCAGGATGAGGTGTGAAGACCCAGGATGAATGCACACTTCTATGCACTTCTAGGCCTGATGTCATTTTTCCTGCAGTTTCCCATGGAGCCCTGCCACAGGTTGGGCTCTTCCTTCACAGCCCTGCCATATCAGCTTTTAAGGGCCCCTCTTGCCAGAGCCAAACCCCCTACACTCCAGAACATTTCTGGATGTACTCTTATGATGAGTGACTAGTCATGTTCACATGTACATGCCCACTGTCTATTCCCATGTCCCCATTCTTGGCATCCCCAGACTTCAAAACAATGGATCAAGGTATGTAACTCATTACAGGGCCCCAGGGTCAGTTTCAAGGAGTTGTACTCTACAGTGTGCAACACAGCTGGGGCCAAGAAGATATGCACGGGTCTGAGGGGTTCCTATAGGGGATGGTGCATATATGGATGTCTAAAAGGAATGACAGATGTTTCATAATGATTTGTGTACATCACATTCCTGTAGCTGCAGATGAAAATAACTGAAAAAATAAGGTTTCATTTACAGTTACCTGGCATTGTCAATATTTAAAATGCACATATCATTTCACCTAATATGGCATGGTTACGAATTACAATTTGTCTATAGATGTATCCATATATGTGCAAAGATTGTGTGTGTGTGTGTGTTCCTGTATGGGTGTGTGTGTGAGGAGGGGGTATTAGAGATCAAACCCAGGACTTTGCACATGCTAAGCACATGCTCTGACACTGAGCCTTACTATTTACAATAGGAAAAAAGAGGAAACAACCTAAAAGTTCATCATTAAGAAGCTAGTTACATCAAATATGGCAAATTAGTATTATTAATTACCATTATAAAGAAGAGGTAGGAGCCGGGCATGGTGGCCCACACCTTTATTAATCACAGCACTCAGAGGGCAGAGGCAGGCAGATCTCTGTTAGTTCGAGGCCAACCTGGTCTCCATAGTGAATCCAGGCCAGCTGTGGCTACAGGGAGACCCTGTCTCAAAAAGACCACAAAAAAACAAAAAACAAAACAAAACAAAGGGTGGGTAGGGGGTCTGGAGAGATGGCTCAGCAGTTATAGAGCACTGACTGCTCTTGCAGAACACCCAGGTTTGATTCCCAGCACCCACATGGTGACTAACAACCATTTGTTACTCTAGTTCCAGGGGATCCAACACCCTCTTCTAACCTTTTTGGGCATTGCATGACATGGGTGAACTTACATACATGCTGGCAATACACTCACACATATAAAATAATATTTTAAAAAACAAAGAGCAGGTAGGGCTTATGATACTGGTACAAAAAGATGGATAAGATGTATAGTTAAGTGACAATAACCAGGGCTTGTGTAAATAAAGGTGGGGGTTTATACACATGTGCTCGCCCAAGCATAGCCTATAATTGGAAGGGTCTGTGAGAGACTGAACTAGGGTTGTTTTTATGAAGGAGAATTGAAGACTCCAGAGAGGAAAACATATACTTTGTTACATTTGAATTTTAAAATCATATTTATGCATTTCCTAGATTGACTAAATATTAACATTTCCAAAAATAGAATTTTGAATTAACAGTGGCTATATTTTCGGCATAATATACACTATATTAAGCAAAAGATGACTATTGTCGGCACCAATGGGGTGTCAGCATTCAAAAGAGTGAATAGACACGTGGAAAGGGGGCAGTGACTGTGATGGAAATGTGGCTGTGACTAAAAACTGGCACAACAGAGGACAGGCCTGGACTCCATCTGGGAAAGGGAGAGAGACTCAAAAATAGAACTATTATTTTAAATAAACACATAAAGGCTTGACACCTGATTGTTGTCTCCTAGAGTAGTGTTTGGAGAGCTAGATTATGGGAGGATTTCTGAGCTCAGCGCTAAAAATGCATCAAGAATTCCTGACAAGTGGAGGGAGCTGGCCAGAGATTGGATTTCCTAGCACTGGAGAGGGGGACAGCCTGGCCTACAAAGGAAGACCTTGTTGAAAGAAAGAAAGAAAGAAGGGAAGAAGTGAGGGGGGTGGGAAGGAGGGAAGGGATAAAGTAAAAAGAAAGAAGGAAAGGAAGAAAGGCGGGAGGGACGGACGGAGGAAGAAAAGAAAAAAAAAAACCTGTCAAGTGACCAACTACTCTTTGGCAAACAATATTTAAACACATAAAGGCTTGACACCTGATTGTTGTCTCCTAGAGTAGTGTTTGGAGAGCTAGATTATGGGAGGATTTCTGAGCTCAGCGCTAAAAATGCATCAAGAATTCCTGACAAGTGGAGGGAGCTGGCCAGAGATTGGATTTCCTAGCACTGGAGAGGGGGACAGCCTGGCCTACAAAGGAAGACCTTGTTGAAAGAAAGAAAGAAAGAAGGGAAGAAGTGAGGGGGGTGGGAAGGAGGGAAGGGATAAAGTAAAAAGAAAGAAGGAAAGGAAGAAAGGCGGGAGGGACGGACGGAGGAAGAAAAGAAAAAAAAAACCTGTCAAGTGACCAACTACTCTTTGGCAACAAATATTGGTCAAATGTTATTTAGCCACAAGTTTAGTTAAAGAAGTGAGAGGTCAAATCAAGCAATTGCTGTTTTAGGAAAAAACAAGCCATACATGAGAGCTGACTGCAGCTCTGGTGCCCCTTAAAGACTGGTTCTGAGGGTCAAGCCCCCAAAGGATGCTTTAGAAGTGATGTGTGCCTTGACAACCTCGTGGGGATGTGGCTCTGGCTCCCAAGGTGTCACTCTGAAGAAGCGGCGCCCTTGGAAGCGTGGCTTCCGTTTCCTTAGGGAGACACCGGCTGCAACCCGTTCGGTGGCACCAGGCAGGAGCCTGGGCTCCGCGGCTCAGCTCTTCTTGCGCAGTTGGTTGTACTGCACACGGCCCAGGATGGGCTCCATGACGCTGGGACGGAAGAAGCTGTCGCTGACCCTGCGCAACGGCTTCTCGCGAGGCATGGCCAGGAAGCCAGGGCGCGCAGACTTCTCTGCCTTGTCGTCTAAACCAGGGCAGGAGGGCGCGCTGAGGCCCCGCACGCTGCGTAGACCCGCACGAGGCTGCCCCGGGCGGGGAGCGGGCTCGGGGCTGGCGGGCGGCACCCCGGACCCCTTGCGCTCGACCTCGGCTGGGGGGTTGTCGATGTCCCGGAATTCGCTCTCGGGTTCCATCAACGACAGCCTGGGAAGCTGAAAGCCAGACATCACCATTAGGGCTCCCGCTTAGCCCTGTCTCTTTGCCTACACCTTCTGGCCCTAGGAGCAGCCATCACAGGGCACAGACTGGGATATAGGACATCAGGGAGACCCCTGAGGTCCCGAGGACTTTGATGGCCTCTGGTGGTAAGCCATGTCTCCTAAAGTTTCCACACTCGGGCTTTCCTCTGGGGCACAGGCAAGGGGAAATCAGTGGCTAGAGCTGTAGGCTGAGATCCATAAGCAGACAAGACCAGGGTACCTCTATCTGGACATACTGGGGTCCCAAGGTGAACAAGCTGGCTGCCAAGCCCCTTGGCATGTCTCATGGTGCCAGTGATTCAGCAACCTTCCCCCTGGCCAGCCCTACGAGCACCTTCTGTTCTGATCAGCTCTCCTTCTGCTGCTTAACCTGTAACTTCCACTGGGGAGAATTCCAGAGACTCCCAAAGGTTTTTTCAATTTTTCCCCACTGGTGTCAGAATTGACACAATGCCAGTTGCAGTCTCTAGAATGCAGAGCCCTCTGCTCAAGGTGCCCTAGAAGCCTACCAGGAAGTGGCATACAAACCTGCCAGGCCCTTGCCTTGGGAGCTAAAAGAGAAGAGCTGAGCCACCCAGGATCCCCAAATCAATGGTAGTTCACCAGTAAGTGGGAGGCAGAATGCAGGCTTCCCAGAGTTGTGGATTGCTGTACTCCAGGCTGGGAAAGGCCAGTGTGTCAGAAGTTCTGGGCTCTGAGAGTTGGAGGAAGGTCTCCAGGGGCTTGGGAAAGGTCTGGCAACAGCTCCTTCAGTCAAATCTACCTCATCTGGCCTGGCCTGACCTCCAGGGGAGAAGGAAGGTTGCCCTGGGGTGGGACTCACCGGCACATAATGTACCACCGTGTCCACCACGTTGTCAGTGACACCCTTCAGAGCATCTGATAGGGACATAGCCCTTCCCTTGGTGGAGGAAATGGGCGGGGCTGGTGTGAGGTGCAGGATCCTTCCCACCGTGCCCAGCAGAGTCGCAGGTGCCCATGTCACTGCTGAGATGGTGCTCCGGAGGGTCTTCTGCATGGTGTGTGCCATACCACCCAGGAGGCCTCGAGGGCTGGGCAGGGCTGCTACCTGTGGGCCAGAGAACCAACAACCCCTCCTACAGTAATTCCCCAACCCTTCCCCTCACCACCAGCTTCAGAGCTAGAGGGGGAAGGCATGTGGACACAAAATTGAAACAAAACAAAACAAAAACAAAACAAAAACTTTAGGCCTGGATCTGTCACTAACTATTGGCCTTGGGCAAGTCACTTCCTTTCTTTGGACCCCCAGTCTTCTCATCCAAAGAATGGGTAATAATCCTTGCCCTATTTTATGGGTGTTGTGGAGTCAGGTGAGAGTGACATGGAAATACTTCATTGGTTGTGGATTTGGGGGTGAGCTGGAGACAGAGACCTTTATTCCACCTCGTCCCGCTGCTTTTCAACTCCCTGCAGGCTGTGAATCCTTGAGCTCTTGCTTTCTCCCTCACCTCACTGAGTATGTTCTCCTCAGCCTCTGATTCCTCCTCCTTCTCCTCCTCCTCTTCTTCCTCTGTCTCCTCTCCCTCTGTGTCCATCTGGTCATCATCATTTTCCTCCTGGGGGGCTGCCAGGTTGTGCAGCCAGGGCACCCGCACTTCACTCTGCCGCCGGGACACCACCTGCATGGCTGCTGATGCGCCCCACTGGGCCAGGCTGCTCTGAGGGGGTGATAGTAACAGAAGCTGGCTCAGCAGGCCTACTTTAAACTGTGAGTCCCCTGACACAGGAGCAGGGGCAGGGGCAGGGGCAGGGGTGGTGAGCAAGGCCTGGCCCCACAGGCATTTTAAATTAACAGCTTATCATTGAAGGGTACACATCATTAACATAGAGCTCTGTGAGTTTTTATCAGCACAGTATATGTAACTTTTAAAAAATTTATTATTATTTTTATGTGTATGAGTGTATTGCCTGCATGTATGTGAGTGTACCCATGTCGCGCAATCCCAATGAAGTCAGAAGAAGGCTTCGGATTCCCCTGGAATTAGAGTTAAGGATGGTTCGTAGCTGCCATGTGGGTGCTAGGAATCGAGTCCTCCGCAAGAGCAGTCAGTGCTCTTAACTGCCGAGCCATTGCTCCAGCCCCCAGTCTATGTCATTTTAACAGATCAAGATAGAAACACCCCCTAGTTTGTATTCCCCAGAATGACTACCATCCTGACTTCTGCCACCACACATTCATTTTGGCTATACATTTTCTTTTTAGTGCTAGAATGGAATCCAGGACCTCTGCCATGCAAATCATATGCTCTTTCACTGGGCTATATAGCCCCAACCCCTGGGCCTATTTTTGAAGTTCATACAAATGGATCATACAATGAGTATGGATTTACGAACAGCTATTTTTAGTTCGGCATTATGGTATGAGAGTCACCTTTTCTTATGCACTGCTTCTTTTTCATCTCTCTATAAGCTCCCTCATGGGGACTAACTGCCATTCATTCTGCTGGAGATGTACATCTGCATTGTTCCCATTCTTTCTTCTTCTCTGTATAGTTTTTGTGAGACAGGACCTCACAATGTAGCTAGCCCCGGCTGACTGGAACTCATTATGAAGACCAGGCTGGCCTTGAACTTGGAGAGAGAGAGAGAGAGAGGAAGAAGGAGGGAGGGAGAGAGGGAGGGAGGGAGAGAGAGAGAGAGAGAGAGAGGAAGAAGGAGGGGGGGAGAGGGGGAGGGAGGGAGGGAGGGAGGGAGGGAGGGAGAATATACACAGAGTAATAAATAAGAGTACCACTTAAACCAGGAATTACATGCCTGTAATTCCAACACTTGGGAGGCTGAGGCAGGAGGACTGCTACAACTTCAAGGCCAACCTGGGCCACAGAATGAGACCCTATCTCCAAACAAACAAACAAACAAACAAACCCAAGTTAATTAACAAAACAGACCACTCACATAATGACTGAAAAGTCATTTTTCACTGTCTCTGACTTTCAGACTTTTAATTTTTCTTGCAGTGCTGTGGATATGTGGCCTCACATACGCTAGGTAAGCACTCTACTACTGAGCTACAGTCTTAGTCCAGAGCTAGCCTTCTTGGTTTAATGTTTTGTTGTTGCTATTCTGTTTTGAGGTTTTTTGTTTGTTTGTTTTTGGGGCTTTGGTGATTGTTGTTGACTTTTGAAATAGGGTCTCACTGTACAGCTCTGGAACTTGCTGTATAGGCCAGGCTGGCCTTAAACTTGAAGCAAACTTGCCTCTGCTTCCCAAATGCTGAGATAACAGGTATGCACTACTACATCTAACTTTAGTCCCTCCCTTCCTTCCTTCCTTCCTTCCTTCCTTCCTTCCTTCCTTCCTTCCTTCCTTCCTTCCTTCCCTCCTCTCCTTCCCCCTTCTCTTCCTCCTCCTCCTCTTATGCTACTGCCTCTCTCTCTCTCTCTCTCTCTCTCTCTCTGACTTTAGTTTCTTACTAGTTTCTGAAGAAAAAAATCCAGCCTAACTGTATGATGCATGTACAATGTAAGATGCATGGAAAAGCAGCTTCACCCTGGTATGATAAAGTCGGAAGGCAGAGGCTGCTAGAAGGGAAATCAGAAACCTGCATGCAGTTAGGGACGAGGGCTGGCTGGACTCTCACCCACAGATAGGTTTTGTGATTTGCATATTTATGGATGATACTTCTACTGCTTGATAGCAGATGGGGGGACCTACAGTAAGAGGCCTACTTGGGAACATAAATGCCGAGGGTCAGGAATACTCAGAGGGAAAATGGGGGAGACAGGAGAGGGTGATGGGACAGGACTACCCCTCAACTTGTGTCTTGTCCCTTCTCTTCCCCTGTGGTGTGCATAGCTAGCTTGCCACCCTCTTAAGGCCCCAGTCATTAGACCTAAAGCCCCAGGACAGAAGGGACCAGCAAGCCCACAGAGCAGGGTCAGGCAGAGCTCAGACTCACCAGGGGTGCCACACCCGGAATCCACATGGCCAGGGAGTGGCCCTGCTTCAGCGCCCAGGCTGTGCTCTGCATGGTATGTTGAGAGAGGGTATTGGCCAGGGTGCCCACCCTCCTCATGAGGCTTGGTTTGGCCCTGGGAGCTTTCTGGGCCCGCTGGTGTCCAGGAGCAGAGGCTGGATAGAGACACAGGAGAGCAGATCAGAAAGAGGCCTTGGGTTGTGCCTTGGGCTAGAAGACAGTAGTCGTCATTCTTCTACTATAAACCCACTGGAGATAGTTAATACAAATTCACTACCCCACCCCCTTACAGCTATGGCAAGGGCACTAAAGGGTTATGGATCTCTCTGAAGATCCAAAAGGGCTTCCCTATCCCAGAGCAGGGCCAGTGAACCTTGCAGCCTCCCACTAATCCCCAGGTATTGAGTGGCCAGTTGACTCCCAGGAAAGTCAGCCAGCCTCAATGGCAGGTACCTGACTCCTCCTTGGCTGGTGGAAGGAGGAACTCTACCACCTTCTCAATACCACCCAAGGCCAGATCAGCCCCTCCAGAAGCCAGTCGACCAACACGGGTGTTGGCAGCATATTCCGCAGTCTCTTTGGCCATCCCCAAGGCAAGTTCGCAGCCAGCCAGAGTGGCCCCCAGGACCTTGTCAGAAGTGCTGACGATGGGCACACTGATGCTGTTCCTGGCACTGCGGAGGCGGGTGGAGATGGTTCCCTTCAGGTCAGAGGCAATCTGGGGAGTGTGGGAGGACAGTCAGCCATATAGGTTTCCTTGCAGGCCCCAAGGCCTCTCTGGAAGACCTCATTTAAAGGTCCAGAGGCCAGGCACGGTGGCACACACTTGTGATCCCAGGACTTTGGAGGCTGAGGAGGATGGCTATGAGTTTGAGGTCAGCCTTGGCTACATAGTGAATTCCAGACCAGCTTGGGCTACAGTGTGAGATCTTGTTTCAAAAAATTAAAATAGGGGCTGGAGAGATGATTTGGTGGTTAAAAGTACTGGCTGCTCTTGCAGAGGACCCAGGTTCAGTTTCCTGTACCCATACGGCACCTAACAGTCATCTGTGACTCCAGTTCCAAAGGATCCAATGCCTTCTTCTGGCCTTAACAGGTATTGGATGCACATGATCCTCTTTCATAAATTTAGGCAAAACACTCATACGCATAAAAAATACGTTTTAAAAAATTAAATCAAATTAGTAATAATTAAAAAATAAATGGCCCAGGGGACCTGCTGGAATATGTGGGAAGGATAAAGGGCTTGCTGTGATAGCCAATTGGGTCTCCTGGCTTCTTCACACTATATCACTAGCTGTTACAATCTTGCCTGTGAGAATAGCCCCAGTGCCTCCCAATATATATGGCTGGTCTTCCTACAAATTCTACACTGGTATGATTTGCCTTTTTCCTCCTGAGAGCCTGGGCACTCCTTTGTGACAAAGTTCCTTTGTGTTGCTTTGTCACTGGACCACTGGGGAGGAAGAGACAAATAGGCCTGCTCACCTGTAGTCTCCACTTCAGTCTGTGTTTTCTCATCTGTATAATGGGGCTAACAAGGCTGGTCATGACAGATGAGCTGGGAGGGCTCCATAAAACTCATGTCACAGCCATTGGCAATGGCAGGTCTTGGGAGTGATTTATGGGACGGGGAGGTGGTTGATCAGTAAAATAGATGAGGTCACTGGCCTTATGGAAGCCACAATTGGATAAAGGTAGATAGAGCTGTGTCAGGGGAAGTGAGTTGTTCAGTCTCATGATCTATAAAGGGTTGGACCTCAAGGACATAAGCATGTGTTCCTGGGATCCCAGTGAGTGGAATCCGAGCTCTTAGGTAGCTATTGTCACTAAGTTGTCCAGTGCAGGCCCTCAGAGCCCAGATCCCAGGGCTCTGGATATCAGGTGGCTGTGTAATCATGCAAGGAGCACATTGGGGTGAGTCCTGTCACCTCCTTGAGCACCACACAAAGCTTCTGTCTAAACTTGTACAGGGTATATGCCCGCTGCCCCAGACACCCCGACTCTTCCTGGCTCCCAGAATGAGGAAGAGGGGTTTCCTTCTGCTTATCCCATGAACACAGAAAGATGCACAGCCCCAGCATCGACTGCTCTCCTTCCTGAGAGGAGGTCACAGAGTGTAGGAAGCAGTAGGAAAAAGGGAGGACTCACTTTTTCTGGAGGGTACTGAAGGGCAGGGATCTTTTCTTCCAGGTGGTCCAGGCCTCTGCAGGCCAGTTCATTGGCAGCTGTGACTGGAAAGCAAGGGTCATGTTGTGATGAGCCCTACCCCTTCCTTGAGGAGCTAGCAGTAGTCTCTGTGCCAAAGAAAGTACCTTGAAGCCCACAGATCTCCAGCCCTACTGCCTCCCAGGCATCTGGGAACCAGAAGCCATTTACTATATTTAACCCTGACTCCTTGAGACCTGGGTTATTTGTGGTCTGTGAGACCTACACTCACAGCGCTGTCCCTGCATCTTTGCAGCATGTGGCTTCAGCAAGTCCTGTCTGAATACCTGATAAAGCTCACATGGACCCTTGTCTTCCATTTCCAGGGCGCTAGGCAGCAACTCTCTACTGCCCCCACCTGTCAGGAGCCATAATTATCAGCCTCTGCATTTGTAAAGCATGGATGTAAAGTATGTAAAGAGGATTCATGGTGTCTGCTTTGTAAATTTGTAGTGGGAAGAGATAGCAGCTATTTGAATCATCACCAAGCACTGTTCTCTCCCTGACTAGGGCTCTGGAAGAGTGTGAAGAAGTGGGAGAACCCAGGTGGAAGTGAGGCAGGTCTCACCAGGGCCTCGGCATTGGCCTCCATAGGGCCAGGATTAGGCCTGCTTAATCCTGGAGGTGATGAACTCCCAGTCACAGCTAGAATAGCTCCAGATTGGCCTTAGCCCTGGCTTTTAACCTCAAAGTTTCAAGATGACTGACAGTTGAAGGCTGTCACAGGGAGTGGGACAAGCCCCAGAAGATACAAGTGCTTCTGGCAGACAACATAGGTTCCGTGGTCAAGGCTATGGAAATCACAGGTTTAAAGGGTATTTATATGCGCCATATTTCCTGGTCTTACTATGTAGCCCTGGATGGCTAGAGCTACTATGTAGACCAGGCTGGTCTCAAAGTCATAGCAATCTGCTTTTGCCTCCCAAGTGCTGGGATTAAAGACATGTATCACCATACCCAGCAACTCTTCATATTTATTTCAAGATGCAAAGATCCCAGATAATTTGGCTGTCTTCTGACTGGACAGAATGAAAGTTTACAGGGAAGCTAGCTTAGGGCCTGTAACATCTTTTTCTAAAATTATTAACTGAATTTTTTTTTGAAAATTTCATACACATATACAATACATGTTGATCACTTTCTTTCTGCACTCTTACTTATCTCCCACCTGGTCACTCCCTCTCTTCTCTCTACAGGTCTTTTTCCCATGTTCATGTTTTTTGGTTTTGTTTTGCGACCTACCGAGTTTCACCAGGTGACCATGGGTTTGGAATTATCCAATGGAACCTTTATATAAAGGTTCCTACCTGTTTGCTGGGTGGAATTCTCCATACCCATATGTCCATACTAGGATAGTAGAAAAATGCTAGATGTCTCAGTACTGCTAGTCAAGAGTCTTGGAGACTATACTTTCAGATGGAGGTAGAACAATGGAGAGAGGACAAGCCTCCTAAGGCTCAACTGGACCCTTGTCTTCCACCTCCTGGACCTTGCCTGGTAGCCTTCCACTGCTCCCACCTATCAGGAGTGGGTATCAGCAGCAGCTGGGTTAATGGGTCTTCCCTTCCCCTTGGCACCCTTCTGCCCTGCCAGGCCAGCTTTCATGCCAGACCCTGCTGCTTCTGTGGGACACCATTACTCACATAGATCTACCCATCTTCCCCCCTGCACGTTCTTTGGCCATTATTGTTGGCCTAGGCTGAGCTATAGATATTCACAGACAAGGAAATCTGTATGTAGCCCTCTATCTCTGCAGATGAGAAGATAGGGAGATAGATAGAGGCAGTATGGGAGGTAGTCAGGTGGCTAGACAAGCAAGTCCTCAGATGATTGGACAAACTGACAAGCACACAGACTGGCAGGCAGGCAGGCAGTGAGTCTCAGTGGACAGGTGGGTAGCCACTGGGTACTATGAGGACTCACACTGAGTGGACAGCCTACGGACCACTGGCTCCATGCTCCAGGCAGCCAAGCTGCTAGCACCTTGCACGCCCTTTTCGTAAGCATTGCACACAGAGGCCACCAGGGGGTGGGCTTCTTTGGTGCTGGTGTAGGTCTTCTGGACGCATTCACAGGTGCCGCTCACCACAGGCAGCTGCAGGACTCGCTGTAGCACATTCTCTTGTTCCTGTCAGCAAAGTAACATGTTCAAGTCTCCCCCGTCCCCACTTGACTATCCTGGAAGGTGACCACAGGGTTGTGCTTGCCATTAGTGAGGCCAGCTTAAGTCTAGGAGAGCTGGAAGGAAGCAAAGTGTCTCCAGATGGCCCAGTCATGGGAGCAGAGGGGAATCCACAGGAAAAATAAGAGCCAGCCTGCCAAGCCTTCCTGGCCATCCCCAGACTCTAGAGAGCTCCCAAGGCAATCTCTGTTCTCCCGGGGTCAAGCCAAATCCCATCAGTTTCCCAGCTCACCTCTTTTAGACTGACTGTAGAAAGTAAGTTAATGTGTCTGTCAAGAGTTTTAGTCCACTTTCAACTGGTGGCTTCATCTAAACATTTTCATGATCTTTCTGAGATGCTGGACCTATAGATGCTGGACAACTGCCAAACAAGCTGACATTCACTACCTTGTACTTTTCCACTTGGTGGAATACGACTCTTTTGCTACTATTTCCATGAGGCAGGGTCTCAGGTAGCCCAGGCTGGCCTTGAACTCACTATGTAGCTGAGGATGACCTCTTGTCTCCACCTCCCAAATGCTGGGATTGCAAGCATGTGTCACCATGACCCACTTCTGACTCTGCTCTGTCATGGCTGTGCCTATCCTTGGGCCATCTCTACATCCATCACCACACTGTGATTATGTGTGAGCAAGACCTTTCTTCTAGTAAAATGTCCTGTATTTTCCCAGTGACTCAAAAAAAAAGCCTTGGAAAGATTGTAAGAGCCAGGGCTGGTTCATGCACATAAGGTGGAGGCTTCCAGGCCACTGAAGGCTTGCTCATGTGAACCTGTGGTAGTGGTGACATTGAACTCGGAACCCATGTCAGCTCAATTAAACAAGGGCCCAAAGGGGAGGTGAGAAATAGGTGGCGGGCCAGCATTAGATTGAGAACTATTTGAGACTGATTGCTGCTGGGTGAGGGAGAGTATGACTTACATATGACCCCTGGATAATGACTAGACTCCAGTGGACACATTTACACTGATGGACATTTAGGTACAAACACCTGAATGAATAGGACTCAGCATGTATGGCAGAGTGCATAGGGTTCGGTGGGGGAATAGGGGGAGGCATGGATGGGGGAGGGGTCTGGATTTAAGTGAGAAATGTATGACATTTTAAAAGCTAAAAAAAAAGCCTGACCCAGCAGGAAGCAGCATTTACTAGGTGCCTTATGCTCCAGACCCTGGTGTGCCTTGATCTCACTTAATTCTATAACTGTTGAAGCATCTGAGATTCAGAGATGAGAAGTGACTTGTTCAAGATCACACAGCTAATAAATAGCAGAGCCAGGACTCTAGTCAGGTTTGATTTTATTTTTGTGCTTTTGAGAGAGAATCTCTCAAAATTTAGCCCAGGCTGGCCTTGAACTCACTATGTAACCAAGGCTGACCTTCAACTCCTGATCCTCCTGCCTCCACTTCCCAAGTGCTGAGATTATAGGTATGTGTCACCATGTCAGGCTGGCTCCAAGTCAGGTTTGAGATGGTTTATCTGGGATTTACTTCTAAATAACTCAAAATGGGGCACTGATGGGGTGAGGATGAGGCAGATTGGCCATGGAAAATACCTGAGGCCTTATATTATTTTGACCAGTTTTATGAATGTTAAGAATTGTCCATATAGGCTTTCAATTGTCTAGGCCTTTAAATCCCCCAGCACTCAGGAGGCAGAGGCAGGCAGATCTCTGTGAGTTCAAGGCCAGCCTGGTCTACATAGTAAGTTCCAGGCCAGTTGGGGCTATAGGGAGACCCTGTCTCAAAAAGACCCCCCCAAAAAATCATCCATATAAATAGTAACATGAACAAATTCCCCAGGCTTGATTCATCTGTTCCAATTCTGTTTGGTTTTAGGTGTACTCCTGTGGCAGGGTTCCATCTGCTGTGGAGGACCTTCCCTGCTCTGCAGAGCCATTAAGAAGACCCACTCGGCCAGTAGACATAGTGGTTATAATATTTTAGCTTTTCATCCTGCAGGCAAGTTGGATATCTTAACAACAACAACAAAAGGAGTGTGACTGTATATAAGGAAACATTTTCTTTAACATTTTGGACAGTGTCTTCAAGAGTTGTTGCAAATAAAGTTGAAGAAAATACTAGGAAAAGAAGAATGCACCAACTGTTAAGGATTAACTTTTCTTGTGGCCATTTTATGCCTCTGTTTATGAATTAGGGCAAAACAAAACAGTAGGTTCCTAGTGCAGAACTTAATTAAAGCTTAATTTGCAATGAGATGGGTTTCTGAAGTTTCATCATCTGAACTGAACTGTGCCCAAATAAGAGAGGTTTTGGCAAAAATCATCAAGGACACAGAAAAGTATCAAAAGCACTTGAAATTACAGTGAAAACAAGGCCATAGAGAAACGCTAGACGCACCAAAAGTCCAATTCCTTCCCATGCATGGCGGCACAGGCTATGCATCGGAGGTGCTAAATGACCAGGGGCACAGAATGCATGGGCTCTGCACAGCATACACATTGTGCTGGGTGGTAGACAGAATGGGGACTTTTGCCTCAGGGTTTTGGACATAGTGGTTCCCTTCTCTTTGGTTCCTCCTCAGCACTCTCCTTTTCTTCAAGCCACTTAGACTTTCATAGACTTTTCCCCTAGGCTCCCCCATAAGTTTCCTGCAAAAAGTGGTAAAGAGCTGGGCGTGGTGGTGCACGCCTTTAATCCCAGCACTTGGGAGGTAGAGGCAGGCGGATCTCTGTGAGTTCAAGGCCAGCCTGGTCTACATAGTGAGTTCCAGGACAGCTGGGGCTACAGGGAGACGCTGTCTCAAAAAGACCAAAAAAAAAAGTGGTAAAGGCGGGAATAACTGAGACATAGTAAATGAACTGATTGTAACGTAGACATATCCTGCTTGAAGTCCCCTGACTCTCCCTCCCTGCTGCTTCCTCCTCCTTCCCCATTCCCCATCTCACATGAGCCCAGGTTACTTACTGGGAGGTCTCCATCTAACAGGGTTGGGCCCTTGTTCGCTGCCATCCTCACTCTTCACGCTGCAAAGCAGAGTCCCAGGTCCATCAGAAGCCCACAAACTTGCACGCCAGGGGTTGTTCCCTATCTCTCACAGCCACCCGCTAGCTGCCAGGGAGCTCAGCTGTCCTAGCAGACAGCAGAAGGTTGGAGGATGAATGTCACACACAAGCGGTCACTCCTTAGAGTTCCAAAGCAATGAATTACTCCAGTCCTCTGGTCAAAACTGATGTTTCTTATAAGAGTTCAAGACAAATGAAAATACAGGTAATGAGAGGAAGAGAATGAAATAGACAAAAGATTTGGGATGGAGTCTGGGGCTCTTAATTGAAAGTCCAAGAGAGACTAAAGAGATTAATTTCAGGTAGTAGTCTTTTCTTCATGACTAAACTTCTACCTTGTTCTATGCTCAGTCAGGTAAGCAGTTATTCAAAAAACTAGCTATGCTCTGGATAAGCCAGAATATTCTCTACTCCTGGTTTTCCACTTTGCATCTTTTCCTCAGTGGTTTCCCTAAAAGTCTCTGCATCCCTAGAAATATTCCCAAGAGGACCTTTCCCTTAGATCCTTCCCTTTAACACCCATAAAGAGACCAGGTAAGGTGGATATCCTGGGACCCCAAACTCACTGCAGCTTGTGGCCTCTTCAATCTCAGAGAGCCCAGTCTGCAGAAGGTCTTCTCCGTAGAAACACCTCAAAGCTACTCCAGAGAGTCTTGGGCAATGCCTCTCATGCCTCCCAGATGGAGGAGGGCAAAAAGGAAGAGAAAGTTGGGTTGGCCAGTTGCCATGGTTGTCTGACCCAGGGTGTCCCCTGGGTTCATCCTAACTTCTATGGGGGATGCTTACTCAATGAAGTGTTGACTCACAGAACTGAAGGAGGTCCAGGCTCAGAAGATTTATGTACCAGAGTCATGAAACATCACCTCCATAATATTTCTGCCCCCAATTGTCAAAAATTGCTTTCTATAAAGAAGGCATTGAGATATCTGTCATTAAAACGCCTACGTTCTGAAGTTCCATGTAATTCTGTAATTGTTGGTCGTTCCCCCAAAAGGTTCCATGAAACAGTATTCAAATATTTCTCCCATCCTTTCTTATTTGCTAGCAAGACTGACAAACAGCATGATTTAAACACACATGGGGACAGGGTTCACCTTAACATATTAGTCTCTGGCTATGGAGATAAACTGCTCTCAAAGAAGAGAAGGCAACTGGGAGTTAGGTCCCTAGCAATCTGGGCTTTGAGGGGACAATTTCAACCTCTGTAAAATCCAAAAGTTCAAGAAAATGTTTTGAAGCTGGTTGTAGTGGGCACATGCCAGTAATCTCAGTACTAAGGAGGCTGAGGCAGAAGGATCAAGAATTTGAGGCCAAGGTCAGCCTGGTCTATATAGCAAGTTACAGGCCAGCCAGGGCTACATAGTGAGATCCTGTGTCAAAAAACCAAGAGGTGAGAATGCAACTCAACAGAAGAGTGCTCACCAAGCACATTCAAGGCTCTAGGTTTGCTCTCCAGCACTAAGGAAGGGAGGGAGGGAAGGAGAGAAGAAAAGGAAAGGAAGAAGGAAGAGAAGGATTAAACTTCATCTAGCCTGAGATTCCACCAGTTTTTTCTCCTAAGTTTGGAGAGGTGACTGTCAACAAGATTGTTTTGTGAACCAATAGCACTCAGACAACCAAGAAGTACATCACAGAAATACATCATCTGTCATTCTTTCCTCAACAGGAACTCAGGCCCAGCCCAACCTCTAGCTCCTGACTTCAAAGTTGGTGGAGTGTGGTGGTGCAAGCCAGTGTCTTCAGACTGTCTAGGAAGGCCTCTTCTTCCCCTGTCATCTCCTCTTCCTCTTCCTCCCCCTCCTCTTCCTCCTCCTCCTCTTCCGCCTCCTCTTTTTTCAGACAGGCTCTCTCTCCAGCCCCAGCTGTTCTGGTACTCTATATCGAGACCCGGCTGATCCCAATCTTGCTATACACATGGACCACATAGACACCACATATATACACATACACTACACATATACACAGACACTACACACAGCAAAGGCAGCACACACATACACACATACCACAGATACACATACATATACACAGACACTACACACACAGACACCAAACACACGCACACACATACACACACACACACAGAGGCACTATACACATGAATGCCACACATATGCACAGAGACTACACACAGACACCACACACAGGCACACACACACACACAGGCACTATACACATGGGCACCACATATATACACAGACACTACACACACAAACTAAAAACAAGTAACTGTGCTGATGTGCACACATCTGTGCGCCTGCTCTCCTCCTCCTCTTCCTCCTCCTCCTCTTCCTCCTCCTCCTCCTTCTCCTCCTCCTCCTCCGCCTCCTGTTTTTTGAGACAGGGTCTCTCTGTAGCCCCAGCTGGTCTGGTACTCAATATGTAGACCAGGCTGACCCCAATCTCATTGAAATCTGCCTGCCTCTGCCTCCCCAGTGGTGGGATAAAAAGTGTGTGCCACCACACCCTTTAGAAGGGCTTCTTAATTAAAATGTGTAAGAGGGACTGGAGAGATGGCTCAGTGGTTAAGAGCAATTATAGCTCTTGCAAAGGTCTGCGATTGGGTTCCCAGAACCCCCGATGGAATCTCAGGCCTCTGCAAGCACTTGCCTGCACTTGGTGCACATAAACTCATGAAGGCAAACATTCATACATATAAAAAAACTTTAAAACTTTTTAAAAGAAATGGGTAAGAGGACAGCACTAATAGTAGTTCCTTGTTGTTAGCAGATTTGCATGTTGTTACTCTGTTAGTATGAGCAACAGGGAGGTAGGGCCAGCAAGACAGCTCAGCAGGTAAAGACACTTGCTTCTAATCCTCACCATCTGAGTTGGATTTCTGGGCCCCACCTGATGGAGAGAACTGAAATTTCCTCTGATCTCTGCACCTGTCTTGTGGCGCGCGCGCACGCACGCGCGCGCACACACACACACACACACACACACACAACTGTAACAAAAAGATTAAAAAGAGGCACTGGATGGGAAGAAATAGATAGGTCCTTGGTGATAAACCTTATGCAAGGCATAATAAAGCAGAAAAAAAGAAGTCAGGAAAGGGAGGAGTGGAGAAGGGAGCTTCCCAAAGAAGTGACAAACGCATGATGCATTTAATAGTTGTTAATCTGAGCTGGGATTTTAGGTTGTAAGTCAGCAGTGGAGAAAGAAAGTGTGGAAAGTGGCCTCTGCCCTCACTTCAAGGTTCAGGACAAATAATCTGGAAGGCTGTGTCTGGACACAACCCAGGCTAAAGGGCAGTGGCTTTTTTCAGAGCCATGGCTTTGGGCCAGAGGGGATGTGCCTAAAAGCTCTGCTGACAAAGCGGTCCTTTGGCTCCTAATGCTGTGATTCCGGAATGTGGGTGAGAGGTAAGAAGTGAAAGGGCTGGGCGAATCCTAAGGGAAGAGAGAAGAGCCAGTTCTCCGGCAGCACTGGTGGGGCATGGAGCTATCTTATCTTCTTCCCCTCCCTCCACCACCACGGAGCAGGGATATTGGCCATTCGGTGCACCGGTGGGTTCCCCAAGCCAAGCATGGCATTCAAAACATTTGTTGAATGCTCAGTAGCAATGTTCAGCTGTGAATGTGCTGGCCTGTGCATCTCAGGGCTTTTTTGTTTTTGGAATCCCTCATGAATGTGAAAGCACAGGGTGGTGAGGATTAGGTGAAGAGAGAAATGGACAGGATAAAGTAGCAGGATTCCAATAAGCTTTGTACAAACTCTAGAAGACTGGCATTTCCCCCCCTTTTCACCACCTTCCCTAACTTGTAAGGCCCAAAGTACAAAGAGATAGGGAAAAAAGTAAAAACAAAACCATGAACTCAAGGCAGGCTTCTCCAGGGAGAAGCCAGTCATTGCCAGGTGGCTGCAGAGCACCTGGGCAGGGGAGCAGTCTGGACAGATCTCTAAGGGAACCCCTCAACCTAGAGTCTCCATGAGGGGGTTTCCCTGCACTCTCTTCCCAGTCTGCACCTGCCAGCACCCCCGCCCCCGACTGTGGATCCCGTCCTGAACTCCTTACTCTAAAATTTTCCAATCCTGGTACATTTGTAGATACATGAGTCAATTTTGTCTAGAAATTTATTGGACATAATATGTTACAGTACAAACAATTATTTAAACTTATTTGTCTTGTTAGCAGCTTTCTCTTTAAATTCCTCAAATGTTTTCTCAAATCACTTATATTGATCAATTACTTTAAAAAGAGTGCCAAAGACTCACGTCTACTTTTCAAGCATCTCCATTACATTTATGGGAAGTGATTATTCAGAGCATGTTTCTCATTTACATTTAATGACATGGTTTTACTGGGGTGCTGACTCCAACTCCCCACTGTACACCCCTCAAACTAATAAGCTTAAAATAAGAACACTGAGATGTGAAGACAGCATGGGCAAATGCCACTGACTCAGTATCCCAGTGTCCCCTTTGCTGGTCCTGACTGATTTTTCCCATCCCTCCCAGTTGTCCTATGAGTAAATCTGACTTATAACAGAAAACTGTGGCATTCCTACATTCACAGATGGGAAATTCTTAACACCATCGATTTTGATAAAAATTAATGTGGAATTTCCCAAACATAGCTTTAAATAAAAATAATAAATCTAGATTGTTTTAATTTTCACAGGATGGACTAAAGACTACCAATTAAAGTTCCAGGCCTGGGGAGGTAAGAGGTAAAAGCAAAAGGCTGAGTCTGGACTGCTGCTGAAGGTCATGAGTTGCCACAGGTATCTGGGCATCCTGAGAAGGAAATCAAAATGAACCTGACTTCAGTTTTTTTTGTTTTCCACTGTCAGTTTTCTTATCTGTCAACATCTATACAACTGGCACTGTTGTGACCTTACACCTACTTTCACCTTAGGTCTCTTCTACTTCATTTTTGCTTACTCATAGCATTTCAGAGAGCCTTCTACCCATAGACATAATTTATAGCCTGAAACTACTGATGCTTTTCTGAGTCTACTTCTGGAAACAGCAAAGACACAAGTGCAGTGATGGCCAGGGCCAACAGTCCAGAGGCCCAAAGCCCAGCTCCCCTCCATCCTGCTAGGGACATCTCTGGGCATAAGGGATAATAACTGACAGGAGGGAAAAGAAGCCTTTACTAGAGCTGGGAGTGCTGTGCACCAGCCCTGTGTGAAACCAAAGACCCACACACCCCAATCCACACTACTAGTTTGATTGGGTCTTTTTCAGTTTTTTTTCCTTTTCCTTTTTTAAAAAAAATTTTATTATTTTTACTTTATGTGTATCGTGTATTGCCTACATGTAGGTAAGTGCACTCATGACGTGCAATGCCCGAGGAGGTCAGAAGAGGCTGCTGGATCCCCTGGGACTGGAGTTATGGACAGTTGTTAGCTACCATGTGGGTGCTGGGATTTGAACCCAGGTCTTCTACAAGAACAACCAGTGTTCTTAACCACTGAGCCATCTCTCCAGCCCCCTTTCAATTTTTATTAATTCAGCAAACACTAATCTCTTACGATGTATAAGAAAGATGCTCAGTAATGTTAGTCAAAGGAAAATAATCAGAAATTCAGAAGTTACTGCAGCATTTCAAAACCTTATCAATCTTCATGCTCCATTCTTGGCTCCACTTCTGCTCACATTACAGGTTGGTAAGACATTCACATGATTAGAAACTTCAGTATAATAAGACATTGTTTGTGCCTAACACAAATGTCAGTTCCACTAAGATATCAGCTTTAAAGACTTCAAACACTCTAGCGGGTCTTCAGCTTCATCTGAGGATATACCACGGTGACAAGGCCAGCCACAGAGGACACGAGACCTCCGAGTCCAACGACGCCATGATTGGACTTATATATCCCAAGCTGGTTCAAAGGGATTAGGATGTCACAGAAGTTCTTCACTGTGTCTAGGAGCAAGGGAGGATGCCGCTTTAGAGATTGGAATAAGAGTAGAAGAAAAGACTGGAGCCATTCTGTTTCTTCATCAACCACACTGTACCCAAGAGGGTCCTGGGATGATGACTTCTCTTTCTTGGCCCTCTCATGTGCAACCCGTCCCATCTGCAGGGAGATTTCATATAGATCTCTGACCAGGCTCAGCAGGAGAAAATAGTAGTAGTGGCGGGCTGCCCACATTTGCCATTTCTCTCTGTTGATTCCAGAGGTGAGACCCACACTCTTCACCCAGAGGACAGTGTCACAGATGTAATAAACCACACGGTTCAGGTTGGCTAATGTGAGGCATAAGCGGGGCACAAGATCAGTGACTTGGATGCTCTGTTCAGTTGCCTGGATGGCATGGACCACGTTGCCTAGTCTGAACCCTGTAAGAGGAACCCACAGAGTTAGCACTTACTTAATTCATACTTAATGGGCGGGCAGAAGCCCTGTGACAAGGTAAGGAGCCAGCACTGGTATCTTAACAGTTGATGGTTGTTAGAGACTCAGTCTTAGCTCAGGAAAGAAGGCCATTACAGTATGTTAAGCACCTACATAATGATTCTGCAAGGTACAAAAGATAGTGACTTAAAGTTTATTACCTCCATGCCAGTGAGTGCCGTAACACTAATTTCTAGCATATTCTAGATTGCAAGCGTGGACTATTACATTTGAGTGTTATCACCTACGCTTCTTCAGAAGGAAGGGCTAGATTCATGAACTCCAGATTCAACATTCTTATACATTTTAATTCCAAGCAAAAGATCGCCTTTTAAAAGATACCATTATCATTTTGCTATTATTCTGACCCAACTCTCCTCTGGCTAACTACTGAAGAAGACAAAGTAGAAATGGTTGGATTTAGTGGACAGGGCAATTAATATTGTCACATGGAGCTTCTAGTTGAATTAATCAACCACTGCAATAGCATCTCCTTATGTAAGTTTGCAATTTAATCAATCAGGGAATCATCCATTCACATGTATTTACTGGGCACTGTGAGAATGGGTTGACTCAGTAACTGCCAGGAAGTAGCTACTCTCCAAACACTCTCAAAAGAGTACTTGATATTAGCTTACCTTGAACTAATACAAAGAAGTATATGCAGCAATTGTTTCAATACCTGAGGTCTGGGTTCTCATTCGGGCTCTTGCATGAGCTAGTTAAATGACACTAGATGAGCACCTTTTAGGCTTTCAAGAGCAGCGAAACTCTAAAGGACATCTCAGCAATGACATTCTAAAGAATCTAAGAATTTCTAATCTTGGCCTTCAAAGCCATCCAGAAATGCTTACCCAATCCTTCCCAACCTTCTTCTTGACAATTTGAGTCTTAATCTGTCAAACTCATTTCCTAGTTTGACACTGATCCTTCAATACAATGATTTGCTCATAACAATCTTGAACCTTCTCTAGAGGAAACCTCCCTTCCACAATACTCTTTCTGCCTCTCTAACCAGACCTCACATCTCACCTCCTTCAAATATATTTCTTTTCCTTTACCTCAGCCACAATATTTGGTACTCTTATTTATAGCATGTGATTTTATTTCTCCCATAAACCTAAGAAATGCTCCTTTATGAAGTAAATTGAATGGATAGTAGTAAAAAACAATTGACCTACTATCACAGCATCTGGTCATCAAACAATGGAGTTGCATGCATTAATTATAAGCATGGGATTTCCCAGGATGATTAATTATGAAAAATTTTTAGACAGTGAAAACCCTTGACTTCATTTTTTGTCTTTCATATGAAACTACCTGGTAAATGGTCTAAAAAAAAGCCATCCATTCAGATCCTCCAGTAATTTTAAAGAGAAGAAGGGGAAAAGGCAGGTGGTCTAAAATTTAACTAGTCTGTTCTATAGAACAAAAGGGCTCATGCAAGCAGAAACTCATGCTGGAGATTACTAAGACATTCTGAGAATGGAAATGAACTAGCATACTGTGCTATGATTAAGCAAAAGGATATGGTATGGCACCAAATCTGAACACAGAAGGGTATCTGTTAATGGCCTGCAGCAAAACATTTAACCTTTCTGGTCATGAGGCAAGTTGATGGTCTGTTTTATCAGTAAACTTGATTGAATGGAAATTAAAACCTTGAAAGCATGTTGTGAATTATGGGATGTCAGGCTGAGGATTATAAACCAGAAGCCACTGTCCCTCAAAAGACAGGGTACTTACATTTACGGCCAGTGCTCACACTGGACTCCAGTTTCTTGAGCTTCATTACCACCTCCTCTTTGCCAGCTTTAGATTCTAACAAATATCTAAGCAACATGCATGCATGTTGAGTGGCTCTGAAATGGAAAAAAAATGTGGAAAATGATTTATAAAACAAATAATGATTCATGAAGCAAAGGGAAGAGAAACATATATTCTAAAGGCAAAAAGAAGCATTTTGCTGAGGCAGACTTTCTGAGATCTGCCATGTAGTAGCTCTTACAAAAGCAACATTCTGCAATAGTTATTCCACAAGAGGGACAAAGGGTAGAGCATGCAATGGCAATGCAACATAAAGGTTAGGAAAGAGGACTCTGCAGTTAGGGGCAGGTCACAGCTCCACAGAAAAATGGATATAGTCAAAGTGGGAAATTGCATGGAAATGTCTCTCAATTCCACAAAGATCCACACTTGCTATTTTCCCCAGTGTAGAATGATTTTCAGATTTCCAAAATGAACTTTTCTATCACATAATTTTTTGCCTGTATGTATGTATTAAGTGTATTCCTGTGTGAAATGCCTGTGGAGCCAGAAGAAGGGTTCAGATTCCCTGGAACTGGAGTTGGTAGCTGTCATGTGAGTGCTAAGAACTGAACTCAGGTCCTTTGTAAGAGCAGTCAGTGATCTTAACCACATTTTAAAATTCATTTATTTAATTAATTTATATTTTATGTATATAAGTGTTTTGTTTGCATGTATGTAATTGCACAGGTGACTGCAATGCCTTCAAAGGCCAGAAGAGGGTGTTGGAACCCCTGGAACTGGAGTTATGGATGGTTGGTAGCTGCCATGTGGGCGTGGGAACTGAACCCGGCTGGGCCTATGCAAGCACAGCCAGTGCTCTTAACCACTGAGCCATCTCTCCAGCCCCTCTACTACATAGTTTTTTAAAAAATATTTTATTTATTATTTTTATTCTATGTGTATGCGTGTATTGCCTGCATGTAGATAAGTGCACCTGTGCCATGCAATTCCCACGGAGGACAGAAGAGGCTGTTGGATCCCCTGGAACTGGAGTTATGGACAGTTGTTAGCTGCCACGTGGGTGCTGGAATTCAAACCTGGGTCTTCTGCAAGAACAACCAGTGTTCTTAACCACTGGGCTATCTCTCCAGCCCCTCTACCACATAGTTTTAACTGACTACTTATATATGACAGGAAACAAATTCTAGAATGAAATAAAAGCCCACAGTCCTGAATATTAATTTCTCAAAACTACAGGACCAAATACATACCAGAACACAAAATAGCAAATATATTTTATATTTTTTTCCAAAACCAATTAGAATTTTACATAAAATATAGGTAGAACACTGTTTAATAATACTATACATTCAACAAAGTGATCATCATCATGCCAGCAAATAATAGTGGCTCAGTGATAAATATACTAGAAAAATATATCACAAACATCCAAATTCACCTGCAGTCTACTTAAAAAAAAAAAGGTGGTTCCTACTGTTCTGTAACTGCATTTGAGTCTCTCTGATATAAACATTATTTTCAATCAAAATGTGGCACAGAGTGGGTATGGTGGCTCATGTCGAGAACCCCAGCATTTGGAACTGGGACAAGAGGACTGTGGTACCAATCTAGGCTACGGAGTAAGATTCCACCTCAAAAATAAATAAGTAAATAAATAAATCTTCCAAAAAGTACATATTTTCCAAAATGGTGACCTAGTTTTGGGGCATGACATGATAAGAGGCAAGAGAAAGCTGGGCATGGTGGTATACACCTTTAATCCCAGTACTCAAGAGGCAGAGACAGGAGGATTTCTGAGTTCTAGGCCAGCCTGATCTATATAGTAAGTTCTAGGCCAGTCAGGGATATATAGTGAGACCCTATCTTAAAAAAAAGAAAGAAAAAAAGAGGAGAGGGTAGGAGGAAAGTATGAGGAGTAGAGGACAGGACCATCTCTCTTCTTCAATTATGATTTCCAGCTAGAGAGCTAGAGAGCTAGAGAGCTCAAGCTGCTCATGCCAACACACCTTTCTTTCTCAGATGTGGTCTAAGAATAGGACTGGGTCTGAAAACAAGGCATTATTTTAGGACTGCCACTTTGTTCATAGTTATACAGATTGTTTGAAAAAATATTATTTTTATTTTATGTGTCTGAGTGTATTGCCTGTAGGTGTACTCAGGTCATGCAGTGCTTGCAGAGGTCAGAAGAGGGTGCCTGATCCCCTGGAACTCGAGTTATGGACAGTTGTTAGCTGCCATGTGGGTGCTGAGAACTGAACCAGGGTCCTCCAGCCCAGTTATACAGATTCTTAAGAAGGTTGGGAAATAAGTGATAGGATCTGAGGTTTTGCTGAGATATCAAAAGACATTGCCAATATATTCTGGGGATACATGAATTATGTTTTGATTTTTAATGAAGCTAGTATAAAATGCAACCATTTGAAAAATCTATCAATTAATCAGAAAGGCAGTATGGCTCAGTGGCTAAGAGGTGGGTGCTTGCATCAACTGTGTAGAGTTGTGTCTCCACCCTGCCACCCTAGTTCTTCTTTCTGCTTCAGTTTCTCCATCTGTGAAACTGGGATATTTAAAGTATCTCCTCCATAGGGTTGTGATGAAGGTTAAATAATAGTTGCAAAATACTGTGCAGGTGGTCTCTCAAAGTCCCATCATTAGGACTTTTCTTACTAGTGTGTTTATACTAGCATTTGACCCCTTAAACTCTCAGACGAGCTGTTGAACAAAACAGCAACCGTAACTATGTTGTGTTAATTTTTTTTCTAAATGATCACTGAACAAGACTTTGTCAAATCTCTGGGGGGTGGGAAATCATGAAGAAGGATTAGTAAGTATTAAACACTCACTGGCACTTTCAATAGCATAGCATGTACTTTGGAGGTACAGCTCTAAGGCTTTCTCCACTGTATTTCATACTCAGTATCTCAAGGACACCAATTAGGCAATAATGGAATATAAAGAAGATAAAACTTTCACTGGAACACTTCAGGAGGTAGTCAAAGCCACAGTTAACTGTTTTGCTTCTCCAGCCACAGAAGTCAATCCAAAGTTTCCCTGTCTCTCAAAAGAGATGTCTTGGAAAGATGTTGCGGGGCGAGGACCCAGTTTCCCTCTCTTGGAACAGTTAGGAGGGCGGGTTCCTGGGCTGAGGTCACACAGCAAAAGGCAGGAGGCAGCTGGGGACCTGAACGTAGGTGAGGATCGCTCCGGCCCCACGCTCCCTCAGTGGGAGTTGGCAGTGTCCCTGTCCCTCGATGTACAGGGCCACTGCCTCCTTCTCGAGATCCTGGGAAGTACTGGGTCGCAACCGGACAGTGGGGAGGCTGCCGGCACCTGGCTCACCTGTAAAGTCGGTCCCGGCCCTGGCTCTGGTTAGTGAAGCGGATGAAGGCGTCCATGTTGCTCAGCCCACGGTCACGCGTCCCGCCGGGCTCGCTCGTGGGTCCTCTGGGTGCCGCGGGTCCCAGGGGAGGGTCGGAGCCAGGGAACCGCAGAGTGGGCGGGGCGGGTCTCTCCGCCCATGTGGGGGCGGATACTCCTTCGGAAGGCTGCCTTCATGGCCTTCCGGTTGTGGCCGGAAGTAGTGGTTACTAAGGCGACGCCAAGCCACCGGACCAGGCGGGCAAAGGTGCCTCACACAGCTGTGGAGCGCACCCAGCTTTCCAGCCTCAGGCGTCCCGGGGGGTATCCAGGAGCCCCAGATGGAATCCCGAGCACCCCAGAGTCTTTGCTTGAAGACCGTGGGCCCCATCGTTTTCCAGCTCCAGGCCTGCTGGAGGAAACAACCCAGATAAACCCGCTCCATCCTGGAGTGTGTTCCTAGAAGAGAGCAGGGTAAAGTGAGAGAATTTTCTTGAGCATTGTTGAACACTGAAAAGTGTTTCCTGAGGAAATCCTCAAAAGCTCAACCTTAAAGCACAGGCAAAGGATATTATAGTCAGTTGTACTACTAACATCCGTTCTGTGGAGCTTGAAGACTGAGCCCCATTCATTTTGTTAACTATTTTTCTCTTCCACCCACGCTCCCTCCTTTCCTCCTTCCTCTCCCTGGGCTTCTTTCCAGTCTGTCTGCTTCCCTCCTCTTTCATCTTTTTTCCTTCTCTTATGATGTTGTTTTCCTAGAAGGACTCTGATTGGCCAGGATGAAACACAACCTCCATCATGCCATCCTCCCTTCGTAGGGGATCTAAGGATGAGGCAACATAAGTCCCTATGGTTCTCTGTAAGCTTCTGCCAGAATCTCTCAGCTGTGTTGCTCTAGCACCTGTGCTACATCCCTGATCCCTGCAGGGACCTGGGCCACCTTCTCTGTACCATGGCCCAGGAGTCTCCCTTTCCTGGCACCCTTTCCCAAGGTTCTGCTTGTTACTGGGGAAATCCAGGTTCCCTTCGTGGGTTCCTAGTCTTGTTAGTACAAGAATTTAGAAACTGAACAGAAGGAAGGTGGAGGATGATTTTATTAAGAGTTTGAGAGAAAAACAATGGGGCAGGCAAACTGTGAATCTCGACAGCTGCCTGGAATAGGGAAATGGAGAAGAGAAAAAGGGAAGACCATACTTTTAAAATTTTATTACTTTTTATTTTATGTGTATGAGCGTATTGCTGGCATGTATGTGAGTGCACCTGTGTCGTGCAATGCCATAGAGGTCAGAAGAGGGCTTTGGATTCCCCTGGAACTGGAGTTAAGGACGGTTTGTAGCCGCCATGTGGGTGCTGGGAATCGAACCTGGGTCTTCTGCAAGAGCAGTCAGTGTTCTTAACCGCTGAGCCATCTCTTCAGCCCGAAGACCATGCTTTTTCAGTGGAGGTTGGTCAGTGTCTGAAAGAGATAACAAAGAAGGAAAGGTGGCTGGTGAGATGGCTCAGTAGTTGGAGAGGACCTGAATTCAGTTCTCAGCACTCACACCAGGTTGCTTACAACTCCTACGCCCTCTTCTGGCCTTAAACACACACGCACGCACGCATAAAAGCAATCTTTTAAAAAAAAATCCCTCCTATTAAAAGAAAAAAAAAAAAGAAAGGAAAAGGGAAAATTACAGGCGACTTGGAGAAGGTTCCGCAGTGCTCCATAATGGAAGCTGAACAGTGGCTGCTTGTAACTATTTTTACTGGATGCACCCCCTATGACCATAAAGTAAGCTCTCCTACTTTTGTAATATTTATTCCCTGCATCAAGGCTTGCCCTTAACACTTGCAGGCCTGGGGTAAAACTACACACCAAGACCTACATACAATATGTTTAAATATTTAAAAGTTATAAATCAAGTAACAAATTCTTAAATATGTTCTCCTGTGCTGTCAAATATACTTTCATAATAATATAGAAAGCCAGGCTCACTTTTAGACGTCTAAGACACCTTGAAATACCTGGAAATATAGGTGGAATATGGTAATGTGGAGAGAGGTAGCTCCCAGGCTTCTCCCCTTCCCCCTTCCCTTCCCCTCCTCCTTCCCCTCCTCCTGTGTGTTGCTGAAAGGGGCCCTACAAACAATGTGTGGATACTCTAAGCTCCATCCAGATTCTAGCCCATACCACAGTCATGCTGTGGGCTCCCTTCAGGTTCATGTTAGTATCTGAGTCTCTCTCCAGGAGAAATGGAAAAGGCTTGTGCAGATGCTGGGATCTTTTGGGCAATAATTCCCATGGACTTGACTAAGAAGGTAACGAGGCTTTGGGTAAGGATATCCTCTCGGCTCCATGGATTACTCATTCTTTTCGGAAGAAAGTTTCCTTAGAGAGTTAGAAGTACTCTGTAAGTGCATGGCTCAGGACAGGGCAATAGTAGCAAACAGAATTTGTTGAATGTTGGCTAAGTAACAACACTGTGCTTGCTCTTGGCCTAGGAACCCTCAATAAATTGGTAAGTACAACCTGTTGATCTGCTAGATGATAGAGATGAACACAAGGTGCTTTTGTTTTGAACGGAGTGCTGTGTTTTTGTCATGTGTTTTCTGTGTACTTCTGCATTTTCCATAATATCATAAATTGAATCATGTGTGGCTTTTTCTATCTGATTTTTTTCACAGTGCATTTGAGTTTCATGTTGTACATATCAGTACTTGGTAATTTTTATTGTTGATGTGGGTATACCATAGTTTACTATCCATTCATCCACTGATGTACAATTGTGTTGTCTCTGGTTTGAGGCAATTACAAATAAAACTGCTATATTTAAGTACAGATTTTCATGTGAAATCTAAGATTTAATTTTTTCTTGTTCAGATACTTAGAAATGTGTTTGCTGAATCATCTGGAGGGTTTAGCTTTATAAGAATCTACCAAACCATGTTATTTTCCTACTGGGAATGTGAGTTTAATCTGCTTGCCTATGGTAAAACGTTGGATTGCTTCTACTTTGGTGCTGTAACCATGTGAAAGGCTTGCACAAGTTTTCATTTTCTCTGCTTCACTCCTAGGGATGGAATAACTGGACATTATCCTAAGTATATGTTTAATGTTTTAAGAAGCTGCCAAACTCTTTTTTTATTATTATTAATTTGCTCTTTGGCAATATCATACATGGATGTAATACATTCTCATTACACTTACCCCCCCACGCTGTCTTATCCTTCTCCCCGCCCTCACAAATCCCTCTCCTCCTCCCAGCAAATCACCAAATCACATTGGCATCTTTTTCTTTTTGCTTTGTGACTCACTGGGTTTAATCCAGTGGCTGCTGGCCATGGGTGTGGGTTTGAAGATATCCACTGGAGCATGAGTATCTTGCCTATGGCTATATCACTGAAGACAATAATTCCTCTCCCTGAAAAGCCCTGGACTGCCATTCCCCTGGGTGGGGAGGCCCATCCCTCATCTATGACTGAATGTTTATGGACCCAGTCTGGTGCAGGCCCTATGCAGCTGCTGTGAGTTCAGGCATGCCCCTAAGACAGAATTTCATGGTGGGCTTCCTTGTTACCTGGCTCTTATAGTCTTTCTACTTCCTCTTCCACTGTGTTCCCTGAGCCTTGGTGCGTGTGTGTGTGCGTGTGTGCATGCGTGCGTGCGAGAGAGAGAGAGAGAGAGAGAGAGAGAGAGAGAGAGAGAGAGAGAGAGATATGGGTATCTTGTTTAAGGCTGAGCATTCAACATTCACTTGTTCTCAACACCTTGACCAGCCATGGGTCTCTGTATTACCACACTTCACTGCAGAGAAGCTTTTCAGTCAAGGCCAAGGATAGCAGTAGCCCCTGGATATAAACATAAATATTTAGGAGACAGTTGGACAACATGTCCATTTAACAGAACAAGAGTAGTAGGTTTACCCCTAGTACCTTGGATTTCCTCAGTCACGGGCCTTTGACCACATTCAGAGTACTGGGCATGAACTCCTTCCTACAGAGCTTCAGATTCAATGAGAAAATCAGTTACTCCATAACAATTGTGCCGCTGTTACACCAGTAAGCACCTCTTGCCTGACAAGTTGGTATAGTAGCATGCAGGGTCCAAAGGTGGGAAAGACTGTTGCTGACTTTTCTTCCACAGCTGCCTGCAAAGCAATGTCCAACACTGAAGGCTAGTCAACAGGAAGGAAATGTGCAGCTTAGTTCCAACATAGCTTCTCTGTATTCTGCAATGAACATGGGTGGTATCTTCAGAATACAGGGCCTAACCATCGTATATAGTTTTGGGGGCCTCTGGGATTTTCTTGGTCAATAGCACCTAGGAAAGTGTCCCATACCTGGCATTGGGATTTTCATTTAATAATCCATGGCATCTGGGATCAGCATTGTCCACCACCTATGCATGGTTCAAAATCTTTAAAATTTATTTATTTTTATTTTATGTGTATGAGTGCTTTGCCTGTATGTATGTGTATGTAAGTGTACCCATGCTTGCAGTGTCTGCAGAGGGCAAAAGGGCATCAGATCCCCTGGAACTGAAATTATGGAACATTGTTAGCCTCCACATGGGTGCTGGGAACCAAACTTGGGTCCTCTGGAAGAGCAGCCAGTGCTCTTAACCATGGAACCATCTCTCTAGCCCCTTAAAAATCATTTTAAAATTATGTTTTTTAATTAGCTTATATATTAGTGGGGTTTTGTGTGACTTTCTTCATATTAGTCTTAGTTTTGGTTAATCCTCCCTTGCACCCCATCCCTGTTTAAACCTTGCCACCCGCTGTGTTCCTTCTATTTTTTTTTTTTTGTCTTTTTGAGACAGGGTCTCCCTGTAGCCCCAGCTGTCCTGGAACTCACTATGTGGACCAGGCTGGCCTCGAACTCACAAAGATCTGCCTGCCTCTGCCTCCCAAGTGCTGGGATTAAAGGCGTGTGCCACCATGCCTGGCCTTTCCTTCTATTTTTAAATCACATGTCTTCTATCATCCTCACCCCCATTAAGGCCTCGCCCCTCCCATCCCCCCAACCCCCTGACATGACTCCTTTGTCACGTGTAGGTCTCTATAGATATTCCAAGTTAAACAAATTTTTAAAAAATCCAAAGCCATGGTCCACATATGGGAGGGAATATGTGACATTTGACTTTCTAGGCATAGATTACTTCACTTAGTATAATATTTTCCAGTTCCATTCCTGCAAATTACATAATTTCATTTTTCTTTACAGAAGAATAAAATTCCAATGTGTTTATGTACCACATTTCATTATCCAGTCATCAATTGACAGATATCTCGGCTGATTCTGTTTCCTAACTATTGTGAATAGAGCAGCAATAAATGTGAATGTGCAAGTAACTCTATAGTCAGATATAGATTCCCTTGACTATGTGCTTAGGAGTGGGATAGCTAGGTCATATGGCAGTTCTGTTTCTATTTTTTTTCTCTAAAGATTTATTTTTATTTATGTGTATGTATGTGTGTTTGTGTGCATGTATGCC